ACTGTGGAAATGCTCCAGATTAAAGGAAGTTAAAAGACATAACAGAGGTGGTACTGATAGTGTGAATAATAGTTTGTTTTTGCTATTTCTCATTTATTTTTATTATCTGGGAGATTAAGAAGACACTAAAAATATTAAAAAGTAACAAAAGTCAAAATGTTTTGCTCACAGATTTTCTCAATTATTGAGTAACACGAAGGAACACAAAAGGCATACCTGTAATTGTGAACACTGAGGAATTTTCCTTCGAGGTGGAGTTGGGATAAATGAAGTCAGCTTCCTGACTGATTCTAATCGTTTCTGCAAAGGGGTGGCACCTATAAAGTAATCTTTAAGCCTTGAGGATGCACTGTGCCTAGGAGTCGATTCTGATGTATCATAAGAATCCATGGTCTACATAAAAAGAAATAAAACCAGAATTCTGAACACTAAAAACTTAATTCAACACTAAAAACTTAATTCATGCTCATAGTTTCACTGATCCTTCTTCTCCCTGCTATAAAGGATTTCTTTCTTTCCCTTCCTCTCCTTGCTCCTCCCCTCACCCCCAGATTTGAGTTTTTAACCAAGTCCTATATTTCTCATTGGCTATAGGCTATTTTTATGAATATCTTACCAATACCTCAAACTCAGAATGTTCAAAACTAAATTTAACTCCTTCCCATCCTCCTCCAAAAGTTAGCTGGTCCATTTTCAAATTCCGGTCAATTTTCTATGTTAAATTCATTTAAAGTGGGAGAAAAGTATTCTCCCACTTTCATTCTTGAACATGTAGTCATTAAGCACATTCTTTTGAGTTTTTCCTTCAACAGTCTCTGTCATCCATTCCCAAAGCTACTTCTAGGTTCTTATTACAGTATCTAAGGGTAATCCATTCTTCAGCAGTAACACTTTATTTGTCGCCTGTGCAAAAAAACTTTACAGTGATGAGAAAAATTCTACTTTTCTGCTATTTAAGATCTTTCATAATTCAGCTTGCTCTTATCCTACTTCTCCTAGGCATAAACATATTCTTGTCTTCATGTTTTTGCCTATCAATCATGTTCCTTATCCACCTCCTTTAGGACCATGTTTGAATTTGATCTCTTTTCAAGTAGAAGGGTTTTGTTAATCTTTTTTCCCCAGAATATCTATGTTATACACTTCTGTCTGTATCAATAGCTCATTCCTGGAAGCAATGTGTATGGGGGCATGGCTGTGTGTGCACAGAATGAGATCTCAGGGGTAAATATTTTTTAAAAGCCCAAAAATCCTCTCAATGAGTCTAACAAAATCTCTCAATATGTTTCATAAAATGTCTGGAGATTAATAATATACCAGCCCGCATAGCTCTCCTTGATCATCTAGTTTGTACCACTCATTTTAGCCCATATTCATATAGTTCCTTGTACAATTTTTTTTGGTGTGCATTTTTTCTCTTCCCAACAAGACTAAAATACTTTGAAATCATGCTTTATATTTCTCTTGTATAATTATCCTAATATAATGCTGAGTGTTTTTTAATTGTTAGCAAGGATTGCAGGGTTTTTTTATTTGTTAGTTTTTGTAGTTTCAAGTTTTTCTTTAAATTCCAGTTAGTTAACATACAGTGTAATATTAGTTTCAGGAGTAGAATTTAGAGATACATCACTGATATACAACTCCCAGTTGCTCATCACAACAAGTACCCTCCTTAATACCCATCACCCATTTAACCCATCCCCCCCTGCCCACCTCCAAGTATCAGTTTATATCAACAGAAGGGGGGCGCCTGAATGGCTCAGTCGTTGAGCGTCTGCCTTCGGCTCATGTCATGATCCCAGGGTCCTGGGATCGAGCCCCGCATAGGGCTCCCTGCTCAGTGGGAAGCCTGTTTCTCCTTCTCCCACTCCCCTTGCTTGTGTTCCCTCTCTCGCTGTGTCTCTCTCTGTCAAATAAATAAATAAAATCTTAAAAAAAAAAAAAAAAAACAGAAGAATTTCATAGAACTCTGAAATTATAACTTTCATTGAAAGGAATTATGATTTAAAAGTTATAATAATTACTCCCACGTATTGGCACAGTTACCCTTTGGTAACAGTTTTTCACAAATGAAAACTTGTAGGGGCGGCTGGGTGGCTCAGTCCGTTAAGAGTCTGCCTTCGGCTCAGGTCATGATCCCAGAGTGCCCGGATACAGCCCCACATAGGATAGAGCCCCACATCAGGCTCCCTGCTTCTTCCTCTCCCCCTCCCTCCCGCTTGTGTTTGCGTGCGTGCGTGCATGCTGTCTCTCTCAAATAGAACCTTCTAAAAAAATGAAAACTTGTATTTATTACTGTATTTAAATTTTATTATGTCAAAGTAGGATACCCTCTGTATCTTGCACAAAACTTCACAGGTTAAATATGCATTTCTCAATGCTCAGATAATGCCCAGGCAAGATCATACACCACACAATTTAAATAACAGCTAATTTAAAGCATTCTACTTTTAAATGCATACTGAATTATCTCTTTAAAAGAGAGTTTTAGGGCACCTAGTTATCTCAGTCAGTTAAGAGTGTGACTCTTGATTTCGGCTCAGGTCATGATCTCAGGGTCGTGAGATTGAGCCCCGTGCACTGGGCATGGAGCCTGCTTGAGATTCTCTCTCTCCCTCTGCCCCTACATCCACCCTTCAGTGGCACGGTCTTTAAAAAAAAAAAAAAATGGGCGCCTGGGTGGCTCAGATGGTTAAGCATCTGCCTTCGGCTCAGGTCATGATCCCAGAGTCCTGGGATCAAGTCCCGCACTGGGCTCCCTCCTTGGCGGGGAGCCTGCTTCTTCCTCTCCCGCTCTCCCTGCTCGTGCTTTCTCTCTCTGTCAAATAAATAAATAAAAAATCTTAAAAAAAAAAAAAAAAAAGCAAAAAACAGCGGGGAGGGATTTTAATCAGTCCCATCCACACAGAATGTTTCTTTCAAATTTTTATTTGGATTAATTGCTAACATTTATTGAGTATTCATCAGGTGCCAGGTACTTGTCCAAGCCCCTAACAAATATTGTCTCATTTAATCCTCAACCCCCATGAGGTGGTTTATTATATTCCCAGTTGACAGACGAAAAGACAAAGAAGTTCAGTAATCTGCCAAAGTCATACAGGTAAAGAAGGCAAGAACCAGGATTTGAACCCAGACAGTATAATGCCAGAGTGGGTGCTCTTATCTCTTTTTTCACATTGCCTTTCAATAGAGATCAATTTCAAGGCAAAAGAAGCCCTGCTGAATTTGACTCCTTAAAAGAGAAATGCTATGAATTCCAAAAAATGATTTAAAAATCTGTGTAGATGAGAAAAGGACTATTAGCACGGAGACAGTTGGTTTTGAGAAAACCTTTCCCCTCAGTATTTAATATTATGGTAATGTGAAATATCCCAAACCACGCATGAAAGATTAGAAAATGACTCACATCTATTTTATTCTCTCACTCCGCACTCAATAAAGGGCAATTTTGCCCTGCCCAATAAGTAAGAGGTTAAAGATATATCTTGACTCATTATTTTAGTGTCCCATTCTTAACCCCTTTCCGCAGTCCATAAGGAGTGATCCATAGACGCCACTTCTATCTTGTCATTACCTTGCTGGAGATCCCCTAACAATTCCCACCCATCTTTCAGATGAAGTCAGAACTTCTCTGAGTTTCATGGCACTACATGATCTGATCTTATTATTTGATATTATCCAGGTTCATTTTCTACTTCAGGAGTTCTCGGCCCAAGATCTATGGACAAATGGCCTTTCCAAAATCCAACAACCCTCTAAGGTTGTATGCAAAATGTTGTATGCATGTGTATTTGGTGGTGGAGGGGGAGGAAGAAAGGTCCAGTAGACAATTTTTGAAAAGATTATGAACCACTGCCCTAGACTGATCATCACCCTACTACTCCCCTTCGTGCCTTTCATGTTTGCCTCTGCTCCCTGACTTTTTTATTCAGCCTTCAGCCAACTAAGGATGCTTCTCTCCTCCCATTGGCCTGACCAAATGCAATCCATCCTGGAGGTTTCACGTCCTCAGAAGCCGGCCGGTATCCACAGAGTATCACCAGCTCTTCTTGCACTTGCAGTTCATAACACACAGTTACAACTTAGTTGTTTTTCTTGTGGTAAATCCAGGAAGGAACGGACCCTGACTTTTTACACCGCTACCAATACCTAAATCCCACTGCCAATGCTTGGCCCAGTGCCAAGCATGTAGCGTGCAGCCATCTAAACACAAAAGTGTTGTAGAGATAACGAGTATACAGCAGGGCAAAACATAAAGTTAACGGCCAGTCCTGGACAAAGATAAAGCTTCTTACCAATAAAATACCGTGATGACGCTGTCACCCATTCCGGCTTCAAGAGTCATTCTTCAATTCTGGTTCCAAAAGTAGGTAGAGACTAAAATCCCCTGAAGTTTAAAAAAAAAAAAAAAAAAAGCCGCCAAAACGGCAGGTAAGAGAGAGTTTGGAGGAATCCTTGGCCCCTCCAAATTCCCTCTCGCTCCGCAATAACTGGGTTCACCAGGGACACAAACTCGCTTCCTCAGATGTCCCGAGACTTCACCCCAGGAGGGGCATTTCCGCTGACCCAGCCACCAGCTCTGCGACCCTCGCTTCTGCGGAGTCGGCCTCTGCCGGAGGAGGGGAAGGGCAAGGGACAATGGGTCCCAACTCTCCCCTCTCCACCTGAGCCCTTCAGAGGCCCAGCGAGCTCAGAAATCCCGCCTTTGAGAAGCTGCTACCCAGCGCTCAGCCGCCGCCTCAGTTTAAAATAGTTTCCCGTCTCGCTTTGCGGCGGGACGCCGGAAGCCTCCCTGGTACCGATCACACGTTAATGAAGCAACTACGGTCGCCATTTTAACTGAGGTCGAACTACCTAGCCATAATCGTCAACTTGGCTAACCGCGCGGTGATAGTCTTCAGCGCTTTTCTACTTGCGCGAAGCGTTCCTTCAAATTTCCGCCCACAATAAGCATGGCGGCAGCACCTCTGCTCTGATTGGTTGAATGCCTCCACCGTAACTTGAGCGCTCTCGGAGCCGAATGAGGAGCGCTTGGCTCTCAGCGGTGATTCGGCTGTGGGTTCTGGACCTGAGAAGGTTTCGGGTTTGCTGGCCTTCCTCTTTCTGAAGACCCGAGGACGGCCGCCAGGTCGGAGAAATTTAAAACCTGAGGCTGAGTTCCTTCTTGTTTTCCAAGTTCGGCCTGCGGGAACCTTCGGAGAAGCGTGGAAGGAAGAGAAGGACGGGCAGTTGGTGGTCAACCCCTTCCGCCTCTGTATGGTCGCGGAGGAGTCCCACTCTGCCCTGCTGTCTGGAAGGTTCTCTCGGCTCTTCTGGGGCCGCAGTTCGGTTGGTTAGAAGTGGAAACTGATGCATTGGAGGTGGGAAAAGGCTCTTTCCCCTACCCGCTTCCCAAGGGCCCCGAAGAACTTGTAGATTTATCTAGTTTCTAGACACGTGTACTTGACTGTTCAGCGGAGAAGGGCTTAAATATTGGAGAAGAGAGCGAGAACAACTAGCATTTTAAGGGATTTGTGTATATTTCCAAAAGTGACTTTTGATCATCATCCAACACCGGCAGCCTGGGATTCGTGAGCGTCTCTCGCCATCCTGCGGCTCCAACATGTTCTCCTGTTGGTTAAGTCGGCTATGCAGGGGTTTTTCCACACCCACCGGAAGGATCACCCACCTGATTCGGGGTTCTCTCTCCAGAACGTTGGTGCTCGGTTCACAGAGGAGAACTCCAGGTGAAAGCAGTGAAGGGTTCTGTCCTCTTTAAACAGTATTTCCTCCTGGTCTCTGCAGTCAGAGTGCTCTTATTCCATTTTCCTGTAGTCTGAACTGGATAGCCTTATGTGTAGAGGCAGATCATTCACTCTCCATTTCTTATAATGTAGATTTTTGTCTGGAGTTTTAAAAGTAACCGCGTGAATTCTGCTTTTAGCTGATGCTATTAATAAGCCTAAAAAATTCTTTCACATTTGAGAATGTTTTGTATAGTGTTTTCTAGCGTGCAAGTGACTGGTTTCACTCCAGATTCATACCATCAAACCCGTTATTCCAAAACCTCATTTCATTTTGGAAAGGAATGTGCACTATTAAAAATAGGGTAATTTTAGGTCTCAATGCAAATGCTACGTGATCAAAGTTTAGATTTCCTAACACAGGGCAAAAATTTACAGTAAGACTGTTAATTCACTTGGCTTTTGACACATTTGCAGCTAAATTAAAGTGACTGAATCAAATTACATACTTCAACTTTATGAATTTCATTCATTGACATGAAATACTTAAGATGATATAATTTGAGCGTCTTTATTTTCAAGCAGTTTGCAAATCATATGTTTTTAATCTTGCTTTCCTTTAAAGAATTCAGTAGCTTTGTTGCTCGGACCAACACGTGTGGAGAGTTGCGTTCTTCTCACTTAGGCCAAGAAGTCACTTTGTGTGGATGGATTCAATACCGAAGGTAAACTGGCTTACGAATACCTGGTGGTTAGGGGTGACTGGGTGGCTGGGTCCTTTACACTTTCAGCTCTTGATTTCCGCTCAGGTCATGATCTCAAGGCCGTGAGATAGAGCACCAAGATGGGATCCGCCTGCTTAAGATACTCTTTCTGCCTCTCCCACCCCCCCAAAAAAAAGAATGCCTGGAGGTTGTTTTCCCTCAGTCAGTTCCAAACTTTTATTAATTTTCAATCACTCAGAACAACAAAAGCTTTTCAACTCCTGCAGGATTCTCAGAATTCACTGAGTTTTCAGATTTGTTTTGAAAGACCCAAACAGAGTCACTGGAGTGGCATCTGTTGAAGGTTGTGATAACAGTGTGTTCCACCAGTGGATTGAAATGTCCCTTAGCTTACTCGAGTTGAAGAGTTCCTAGGACCAGTAATTGGGAGTGGGCCACCTGGTAAGCTTCAGTAGCATGAAAAAGCTTATTTTATTCTAAATTTAGGTAGAGAAAAAGCGTAAAAACACGAACAGTGATTCCTTAAGATTAAAGCGCATTTTGTTGTTCATCTCTATATTCCAGCACATACCTGAATAGTACATTAATTAACAGTGAAGAGCTCCAAAATACATAGACTGTGTGGCCTTCCTGAAGAATATGTTCCATATGGGTGGATATTTGACCCATAAATTTGGTGATTTGAACTCAAAATCTGAAGAGGTTTTCTGTACCTCTTCCTGGTACTAAGGAAAGTATGAGAAATGCAGGTTGAACGCTAAAATGTTTGGATTTGGGGGACCTTTTTGATGGTTTATAGAAGTATTAGTAGGTGGACCACCTCTAGAAAATTGTAGTTTTTATCTTTTAAGGAAAGAGTTTATAGAGACACCTGGGTGGCTCAGTCGGTTAAGTGTCTGCCTTCAGGTCAGGTCATGGTCCCCGGGGTCCTGGGATCGAGCCCCGCTCCCTACTCAGCGGGGAACCTGCTTCTCCCTCTCCCTCTGCCACTCTCCCCAACGCGTGCTCTCTCTCGCTTGCTCTTAAGTAAATAAATAAAATCTTTTAAAAAAAAGTTTATATTGCTATATTTCAAAAATTTATATTGCTATAATTGGATATTTCTCATATCCTAAAATATTTGTGGATTTTAATACATGAAAAGTTTCCAAATTTAATAAAATTTTCTTATAAAGACTTAAGCCAATGAAAATTAAAAGTTTGCCTTTTACTGACAAGCCATCTGGATAACTTTAGTAAGCTGAATATATAACCAGTAAAAATTGAAATTGAAAATGAAAAGCCTGGGGTGCCTGGTTGGCTCAGTGGGCAGTGTGTGCAACTCTGGATCTCAGGGTTGTGAGTTCGAGCCCTGCTTGTGGCATGGAGTTTACTTAAAAATTTTTTAAAAAACAGGAGCACCTGGGTGGCTCAGTCGGTTGAGTGGCTGCCTTCGGCTCAGGTCATGATCCTGGAGTCCTGGGATAAGCCCCATGTTGGGCTCCCTGCTCAGCAGGGATCCTGCTTCTCCTTCTCCCTCGCTGCTCCCCCTGCTTGTGCTCTCTCTCAAATAAATAGATAAAATCTTTTTTAGAAAATTTTAAAAATAGATGATTAAGAAAATAAATGCAAAGTCTGGGTTTTTTTTCCGTTAATAAGCTACATAGATAATTGCATGAATGTAGCACATAATGAAAACACATAATTATTATAAAAAGAACGTGGGAAATTGCATGGATTTTTGTTTGTTTAATTTGTTTTGCCTCCTTAAAATTTTGGGCTCAGAGATTTTGGCCTAACATGTTCATTTTCTTCATTGATCAGGCAAAACATCTTCCTGGTCCTGAGAGATTTCCATGGGCTTGTTCAAGTTGTCATTCCCCAGGAGGAGGTAATACAAGGTTTCCTACTGTTATCTGAAAGTCTCTCTGATGCTATGCTTAGTATGTTGGATAAGTATGTGTGTGTGTGTGTGATGAAATGTTCCTGGAATAATACATACATATCTGGTAACATTGGCAAACTCTGGGAAAGGCAACTTTTTACTGTATATCTATTTATACCCTTTGAATTTGAGCCATGTTTACGGTACCACCTGCTCAAAAAAAAAATTAGCATTAAAATTAGGTAAAATAGTTCTCATCATGCTTGTTGAGCTATATTGGTTTCTCTTGTGGTAATGTTTACAAATGCTTTATACCTAAGAAATGTATGATTTACTCAGTTCTTAGTCTTTGAAGTAAGTAAAGAGCAATGAATTATCTTTCAGGGATCAGGATCCAGAGACGAGCATAGCTAACCCAGGAGAATTCCTTTCAGTTGGACTCCATTATTTCTATTGGATGTAACTGCCCCTAAGACTAACTCTGGAGACAGTTGCCTTAAAAGTATGTAGGAATTGTTTCCATCAATCATTTTTCCCCTTATTTTCCTTTAAGGAAAACATTCTAAAACCCTTAACAGGTTTACCTGCTGTATTATGTGGAGTCAAAATGGCGATGCAATTTACCAAATTCTTTAAGAAAGTCATTAAGGGCAGCCCCAGTATTTATGGCAATTAAGCTATGAGTGTTAATATTTTTCTAAACCATAGACTGCGGTAACTACATATTCCTCTACATTCATTTGTTTGTTGGAACTGTTTTTCTCTCTCATTCTGTAGTCAGCTGCTTCTGTGAAGAAGATTCTGTGTGAAGCCCCTGTGGAATCTGTGGTGCAAGTGTCTGGGACAGTAATTTCCCGACCTCCAGGACAAGAGAATCCAGTTAGTAGTTAAGAAGCGGTCTATGTAAATTTTACCTGTATATGTGTGCACTCTACACATTTAGGCAACAGACACCGAGCACCTATTAGACATCAGGCACTAAGATTTCTGCAGGTTCCACAAATGAACCTACAGATTCCAAAATCTTCACTACAAACACACCAATGTGCACAGGCATGTTAAGACATCTGTCAGTGAGCACATCGACCACAGATATGCATAAGAATGTCAAAATCAGGGGCGCCTGGGTGGCTCAGTCGTTAAGCGTCTGCCTTCGGCTCAGGTCATTATCCCCGGGTCCTGGGATTGAGCCCTGCATCGGGCTCCCTGCTCCGCGGGAAGCCTGCTTCTCTCTCTCCCACTCCGCCTGCTTGTGTTCCCTCTCTCGCTGTGTCTCTCTGAAAAAAAAAAAAAGTCAAAATCACGCACAGACATTGATGCTTTAGACTACATGCCATACGCACCCTCACATTTTACATATGTAAGTAAATGCATGCGTTTTACAAATGATCACTGTGTACAGGTCCTGATGAGTGATTTTTTTTAAAAAATAGGTCTTTTCTTCTCTCTCTTTAAGAAAATGCCAACAGGTGAGATCGAAATCAAAGTTAAAACAGCTGAACTTCTGAATTCCTGCAAGAAGCTGCCCTTTGAAATTAAGGACTTTGTGAAGGTGCCATCCTCTGTTATTAATAAATTAGAGTATCTAGAAAATGTTGGTAACCGGTAAAGTGTTTTCAGAGTTTTTTAAAGAAAAACTAACTTCTACAAAATTAAGCATTTTTTTGTGGACCTATCGTGAAGTGTTCTGTTCTGTGCTGTTCTGAAGTAAGCCATTGCAGTTCCTAAACACCTAGGCTGCTTTTTCAGACAGCTCGAAACATGGGTCTACCTTTAAGACTTGAGGTGGTGTTTTCAGGTTTTTTTGTTGCTGTTTTCAGGTTTTTTTGTTGCTGTTTTACATTTTGAAAGGAAATTTGTGTCTAGCTTGGAAATAGCCAGACGGCATAGGAGATCCTGCATCTATTAACTTTCAGGCTCTAACAGTGACAAAATGTTTGCTTGACTTCGCAAGCATATAAATCTGATTACTGTATTTTAGGATGTACTTTGCCCAAGTTTGAGGGGTTGCCGAAGCTAAATAGCTCTGGGTGAGTGTACCCTGATAATCTGCAGCTTTGAAACAATTATCTACAGTTGAAGATGTATATGCATCTAATTTGTAAACTGATCTATAGAACGGTTTTTAAATTAACTGTATGGCCACTTAGTGTTACATTTAAATTCTCAATACTTAATCTTTTAATTAGAAAAAGCAATATAATTATCTGGTTGACCTTTCTGTGGCGGGAGAGAAAAGGAAATATACAGTTTTCCCCCAGCTAAGCTTTCAGAAAGAAATGACAGTTCTACTTCTGGTTAAAAAGTTGTCAGCACAGGGCGCCTGGGTGGCTCAGTCGTTAAGCGTCTGCCTTCGGCTCAGGTCATGATCCCAGGGTCCTGGGATCGAGCCCCGCATCGGGCTCCCTGCTCCGCAGGGAGCCTGCTTCTCCCTCTCCCCCTTCCCCTGCTTGTGTTCCCTCTCTGGCTGGTCTCTCTCAAATAAATAAATAAAATCTTTAAAAAAAAAAGTTGTCAGCACAGAGAGCTGCAGAAATGTACAGCTTTGAAAATAAGCAAACCTTCTTACCGATTTCTACTAGTACAACAGTGGGGGGGGTTCCTTGCATTTCTCACACCTGTACTCCCACTTAGGTGATAATGTCATAGCTATTTTTACTCTTGTGTATTTTTTTTTTAAGATTTTATTTATTTATTTATTTGAGAGAGAACGAGCAGGGGGAATGGCAGAGAGAGAAAAGAAGCTCAGTATGGATCCCGACACGGGGCTCGATCCCAGGACCGCGGGATCATGACCAGAGCCAAAGGCAGATGCTTAACCTACTGAGCTACCCAGTCACCCCTACTCTGGTGTATATTTTTAAATGATCTTTGAAGTCTTTAAATGTATTTTTCAAGACTCAACTATGGGCTTAAATAAATGGATAAATGTTTAGTGAGGGTAGGCAAATTTCAGTCAGTGAAGGGCGTTGTTAATAATAAAGAAGAGTTAAAAAAACATAAAATCTATGCTAGTAACAAACTTAGAGGCTGTAGGAATTAAAGATGGTGTTGTATTTGCAAATAGTGGAAACTAAAGATAGAACTGAAGTTTTTGAAAATCCATGCTCTGTATTAAAGTTAATATCTCTTTAATATTCAAAGAATATTTAAACATTAAAATCTTTCAATTTGTTTAGAAAACAGAGGCTCTTCGTTTGCAGTATCGCTACTTAGACTTGCGTAGTTTCCAAATGCAGTATAACCTGCGACTGAGGTCCCAGATGGTCATGAAAATGCGGGAGTATCTCTGTAATCTACACGGTAAAGGACATGCCTAAATGTTCTTTAGAGCTTTTTAGCATCTTCTTTTTGTTTTATTCAGCATTTTATTGTATCTCTCTTTAGCATCATTGGGTCAGAAGTTGCCAGAGCTCTGGAATTCACTTAATGTGTAAAGCAGTTTTTGAAAAAAGGTGATTTACAGTGTTTTGTCCTAGAGCATAATTTGGTAACTTAGAACATAATTTAGTTCTACTAGGTCCCAAATACAGTCTTTTAAAGATATTGCATTGAAGGTAGAAAAGCCCTTTGGTTGTTATTTATGAGTTTTCTTAATTTTTTATCACGCTTATACTAATTTGTTAGGAGCTCAGAAATGTCCTATGAATTAAACTAGACTCTTCAATCAGTCCTGGAGGTTTTTCTACTATGTTTGAGTTATTTTTGCTATCCTAGCAGAACATTTAGAAAATGAAAACAGTTCAGTAAACAAGAATCCATCAAACAGTTGGAATTATTTCATGACAAAAGTGTCACTTTATGAGCCAAGTAGGGTTTTATGAAAATCCTCAGCTTCTGTCTTGGATGTGTGGAAATCAGCATTCAGTAGGCTTGGTAACTTCTTTCAGTCAAAATTCCTAATTAAAATGTAGCCTCAGATTTGATTTGTTGAACTGTACCCTAGACAACATACTTGACAAATTCCTATCTAGTAATTTCTGATGCTTCTCTCTTTTTAGGATTTGTGGATATAGAAACACCAACATTGTTTAAGAGGACTCCTGGGGTATGTATATCCCTTAAATCAGCCTACTAATAATGTCCTATTAGTTCTGAAATAGGACCACTTTGTTTTTATATTCATGTGGCTGTATTTTTTTCATGTATTTTATTATTTCACAATGATCACATTAACTAGGTTTTGTTAAGAGTTGAGAAAATTATATGGGTCAGTATTTTGAGTCAGAACACTTTTATTCTACATGAGTTTTCTTTCCCTTGAGGTTTATAAATGCAAATCAATAATGAATTCTTTCCTTAAAAATAAACCCCTTGTGGGGTGCCTGGCTGGCTCAGTCAGGAGAGCATGTGACTCTTGATCTCAGACTTGTGAGTTCAAGCCCCAAATGGGGTATAGAGATTACTTAAATAAATAAAAAAAACTTAAAAGAAAATAAACTTCTTGATCAATAAGAATTGACATTTCTAAACATTGATATTTATACAGTCCATGGACTTTTATAAAAACATAGTTTTAAAAAGCAGTTAGCGGGGCGCCTGGGTGGCTCAGTTGGTTAAGCAACTGCCTTCGGCTCAGGTCCTGATCCTGGAGTCCTGGGATCGAGTCCCGCATCGGGCTCCCTGCTCGGCAGGGAGTCTGCTTCTCCCTCTGACCCTCCTCCCTCTCATGCTCTCTGTATCTCATTCTCTCTGTCTCAAATAAATAAATAAAATCTTTAAAAAAAAAAAAAGCAATTATTAGATAGGAATTGCACAAAACTCTTTCAGCTCATAACAGAATTGGGAATCCATTTCAACAAGCACGCATTTATTACTTACCATGTACAAACATTGTTAGAAGCCTACTGTGTGCAAGCCTTTTGGGGGACTAAAAGATGAGCAAGAGATGATCTCTGTCATTTGCTCTTTAGTTAACTTCATTGATGAGCTGAAGTATCAACTTCCACCAGGTCTTAGGTTCAGGTTTTTTTAACAATATTTCTGCTCTCCTCTCATTAAAGGGTGCAAAAGAGTTTGTAATACCATCCAGGGAACCTGGAAAGTTTTATTGTCTCCCTCAGAGTCCTCAACAGTTTAAACAGCTTCTGATGGTTGGTGGTGTAGACAGGTGAGCCTTCTGTATGTTAGTAGTAAGTTGTCAGAAAAAGAAAGGGGAGGAAGGTGGGGAGGAAAAAAGGAAACACAAAGTTATCTGATCTCTTAAAAGAAGTTAGAAAATGTATGAGCATTTGGAAAACACTTGTTAAAAACCCTAAACATTTGTAGTCATTATTTAGTAAAGATGTATTGGGTGGCCGCCATGTGCAAAGCTCTATGCTAGTAGATGTGCAGGGAATTAAAAACAAAAAAGGAAAGGTCTTAGGAGCACCTGGGTGACTCAGTTGGTTAAGTGTCTGACTCTTGATCTCGGCTCATATCTTGATCTCGGGGTTGTAAGTTCAAGCCCTGAGTTGGGCTCCAAGGTGGGCATGGAGCCTACCTAAAAAGAGAGAGAGAAAGAAAGAAAGCAAGCAAGAAAGAAAAGGTTTTGCTCTCCAGGAGTTAATGAATGTAGTAAGACAGAATAGGGTAATAAATAAATAAACCAACTGCCAACTATGATAGAACCCAAAAATAAGTTTGTTGAGGGTTGCAAACTAGGTATTGTTTGGGGAAATATTATTAAAAAAACTTTGTGAGCAAGGCCTTTTGGGACAGTGCTGCATCTCAGCAGATGAAGATGAGAATGGAAATGGCATAGCACAAAAAAGCTCAAGTGTAGTCATGGATCAATAAGTATTTTGATTTGGCCAGAGCAAAAGAGTATATATAAAGAAGCATAAGTGCCTTGCATGCCAATCTGATATATGAATATTGAAAGGTGCCATTGTATATTTTTAAAACAATGTATAGAATATTAGTTTCTTATGGGTCTACTGTATATCTGATTAGATTAGAGCATCATAAAGAATTTTAAAATTTCTTATGTCCTTTAGGTACCATTATTAATTTATTTCGTAGACTGCACTACCATGAACTTCTGGGGAAAAGTGTGTGTATCTTCCTAGAATCATGACTCAATTCATACCATTTTTCAATTGTAGATATTTTCAGGTTGCCCGATGTTACCGAGATGAAGGTTCAAGACCAGACCGACAGCCTGAGTTTACTCAGGTACTAAGTTATATTCACTTTTGTCTCTTACTCATTCATCCTTGTGCCAGCCAAGTGGTTCCAGACCGGGCAGTAATTTTATATATAGGCAGACCTTGTTTTGTTGTACTTCGCTTTATTGTGCTTCGCAGACATTGCATTGTTTACTGATTGAAGGTTTGTGGCAACCCTTCAGAGCAAGTGGATCAGCACCATTTTTCCAATAGCATTTGCTCCCTTTGTGTCTCTATGTCATGTTTTGGTAATTCTCACAATATTTCAAACTTTTTCATTATTATATTTGTTTTGGTGATCTGTGATCAGTGATTGTGATTCACTGAAAGCTCAGATGATGTTAGTATTTTCTAGCAATAAAGTATTTTTTAATAAAGGTACATACATTTTTTGACAATGTTATTGCACACTTAATAGACTACAGTATAGGATAAACATAACTTTTATAGGCACTGCAAAACCAAAAAATTAATTTGACTCACTTTATTGTGATTATGCTTTATTGCAGCAGTCTGGAACCAAACCTGCAAGAGCTCTAGTGTATGCCAGCGCTTTACTTCTCATTACATTTTATCCATCAGATATTTAATTAAACTAACCTGCAGTTGAGACACTATTTAATTTTTGATCCATTTCATGTGTCCTTTTTATAACACGTATGGTCATCAGCTAAGAAATGCCAAAGATTCCTGCAGTGTTTTAATGGTCGTTGCTAGGATAAAGTTCTTTAAAACAAATCTCTTGTACATTAAGAACCAAGAATTCTGGGGCGCCTGGGTGGCTCAGCCGTTAAGCGTCTGCCTTCAGCTCAGGTCATGATCCCAGGGTCCTGGGATCGAGCCCCGCATCGGGCTCCTCGGCGGGAAGCCTGCGTCTCCTTCTCCCACTCCCCCTGCTTGTGTTCCTTCTCTCGCTGTGTCTCTCTCTGTCAAATAAACAAAATCTTAAAAAAAAAAAAAAAAGAACCAAGAATTCTGTATGTTGGTATTTAATCTGTCTAATCTTTAGACTCATCAAAGCTGTCATGATTTGGTTTTTATGTGATAGCGTGTTAAAGTGGTGAAGCGCAAAAATCATAAGCTTTGGAGTTGGACAAACCTGGGATCAAGTGTAGTTTCACTACTTATTAAGTGCATGTACACAGGCAAGTTACAAAGCCTCTCTGAGCCTTAAGCCATGAGGAGAGTGATGGGAACTAAACAAGTTGATATATATAAAGCCTTAGAATAATGCCTAACACAAAACAGATGTACAGTAACATTTATCCTCCCAACCCACACCCATGTATTAAGTATTTATGTGCAGAATCCTATGGTAACTTGAAACCAGAGGAATGTATAAATACGTACATATTAATATTGTGGCTGTTCAAGTTAGTTTCCATATGTTATTTTGGTTTCAGATTGACATAGAGATGTCTTTTGTAGACCAGACCGGAATCCGGAGCCTAATTGAGGGCCTGCTCCAGTATTCCTGGCCCAATGACAAAGATCCTCTAGTGGTTCCTTTTCCTTCTATGACTTTTGTTGAGGCATTGGCCAGCTATGGAACGGATAAACCTGACACTCGCTTTGGGATGAAGGTACTTCTCTTCACTTTTCCAGGACTCTGTCCCACCATACTCCTGCAGTTTTTTAAACCACTTTGAAATTTACAACCAGTTACACACATTGTTATATCATATTTTTTTGTTGTTACTTTAGCTTGTTATCAAGCTATAGCAAGAGAGAATAAATGCATGTTAGCACTACAGTACTTTTGTCCTGTCTCCTATGCTCCTAGACCGTTTCCAAGAGTAAGGTTCTTGCCATAAGGTTTTTATTACTGACAACTTATTAATTATATGGACATGAATGACCACTTGAAAGGGGGAAAAAAACGCTATTCTTTCCTCTTCAATTTTTCTTAAGCTAAAATGGCACTTGGAAGGCAAATGATTAAGAGTTATTCTTTTTCCCTAGCCTATAAAGAGCTCAAACATATGGAAATGTTTATTCAAACTAGTAAGATCTGTACATATTTTAACTAGGGGTAAGAGTAGAATTTATATAAAGGAGTTTCCATTAGCAAGCCTCTCATTATTTGCTCTTAGAAAGCAGTGGCCCTTCATGTCTATAATGCTGGTGGCATTTCTCTATCTCAGTTCTCAGTGCAAATTCCTTAGAAATCAAAGTTCCACTTCATCTATAAATAGGCAGTGCTCGATTCTTGGGATGAAAAAATATACAAAATGTTCTAACTGCCTACTTAGAGCTGCCAACTTAACCACTGCTTATTTCTTCTTCTGTAATCTAGAATAGTGGTGCTTAAGTCGGACTTCTTAGGTTAGGTTCTGGCTCTGTGTTATCTTGGCCGAGTTACTTTCTTCTCTGTGTTTGGTTTCTTCCTGTATTACATGGGGATAATGAGAGTGCATATCTCATACTCTTGTTGTACTGATTAAATGAATTAATGATGAATAATACATTAGTAGATTAACCCCTGTCGTAGTGCTCAACCCAGTAAAAACTGATGGCACTCTGTAAACATTAACTTAGTAAGATCTACTTGCTTCTTTAGAATCTTGTTTGTAAAATTTTTTGAGATAAAAATTACTTCACATTTAGTTACCTTTTTTTGTTGCTGTTTTATAGATCGTAGATATTAGTGATATGTTCAGAAACACAGAGGTTGGATTTCTTCAAGATGCACTTAATAAACCCCAAGGAGCCGTCAAAGCCATATGTATCTCTGAAGGAGCAGTAAGTGACTCGCAGTTCTGTTTCTCTAGGATGTATATTTGGGAAGTAAATATGTTCAGTGTTCAACACTGGCACATTTAAACTTCAAGAAGAACAATTCTTTTTTTAAGAATATATATTTTTAGGGCGCCTGGGTGGCTCAGTTGGTTAAGC